TCAAAATTAATAGATATATACAGTAGGTACACGAAACTACATGGTTTAAACTAAATTAAAAATAATAAGTATCTTTTTAAGTAGTTGGAGAGTTTCGTTAGAATTTCGTTTAATTATAATATGTATAAGTGATTTATTTCTTGCACTTGTAACTGATTATTTTATTTTTTTTAATTTCATAAAGTGTGATGAGATCTCAGGTTGGAGACGGTAATGATACGCTTATAGTATGCCCCAGATCGACATAGTGTAGGAGGACGAAAGAAGCTAGAATACTAATGAAGATACATGAACATTGCTATTTATAGTTATAACAAAATATTCAGAATATTGTTCAATTTAACATTCAGATCTAGATTCAGTTATAAAATACAAAGACAAATATACAATCAGTGAGTTGGATAGATGATTGAAAAATCCCAAACTCAGAGTGATCAGTTCAGTGGAGATATAAGAAAAAACACATGCATGGATGTTTGCAATATAAAATGTCAGTGTTAATATTCAAGAAGGATTTTGTTTATCTTATTTCTAAAACATGCTTAATTAATACATGAAGCGTTATTAAAGTACATACCGTCAGTTTAATAGTTTCAAAAAATATAATGTAAATCTTGCATTTGTTATAGTACCACATTTCTTGTTTTGTACTTGTGATTCCGAGTATAAAATAAATTGCTAAAATCATAAGAATGCTTATTTATTAACCCTATTTAAGAGCTTCAAAATGAAAAAAAATCATATTCCAAAAGTTTTGAATGAGGTTAAATCATGGTTAGAAAATTTGGTCAGATAAGGTTGGCATATGGTCAGATAATGGTCAGAAAAGGTTGGATTATGGTCAGAAAAAGGTTGGATTATGTCCAAATAATGGTCAGAAAAGGTTGGCATATGGTCAGATAATAGTCAGAAAAGGTTGGATTATGGTCAGAAAAGGTTGAATAAAGGTCATTTCATGACGTTGTATAGACGTCGGTTTCTGACGTCTAAAAAACTTTCAAATCCAACCTTCTGCCAACGTTTACCCAACGTCAGGGTCTAACGTCAGTACAACGTTGGTACAACGTCTTTTGTTTGCTGGGCTGGAATATTGATCAGCATGTGTTGTTGTGCAACTGGGTATTTTTGTGTGGATTTTTAAGTATTTGTAGAGTTATTGCCCTTGACTTAGTAAAAATTTGCAATTTTCAACAAGTGTCACACATTGCTCAAAAAGTATTTGACCTAGGGTCTTGAAACTTTAAAGGAATGTTGATCAGCATGTGAAGTTGTGCACTTGGTGTTAAGCTTGTGAATTAATATTTTTTTTTTTTAGAGTTATTGCCCTTGATTTAGTGAAACGTTGCAATTTTCAATTTGTGTTATGGGTAGCTCAAAATATATTTAACCTAGAGTCATGAAACATAATAGGAATGTTGGTCAACATGTGTAGTTGTACATCTTGGGTTTCACTTGTGGATTTATCCAGTATTTGTAGAGTTATTGCCTTTGACTTAGTTAAAACTGTTTCATTATGTTGTGTTATTTGTTCATTGAGTGCTTGAGTTAGAATCAACCAACTTTACAGGAATAATGGTCAACATCATTGTGAAGCTATGAACCTGGGATTTTGTTGTGGATTTTTTTTTCAGTTTTGTTATTTGTTTGGGTCGTCAGACCAAACAAATAATGGTAGCGAAATTTCAGAGTCTAATGTTCTTAATTGCAAATGCCGAAAGTAGTCCACTTTTTTGAAGCGGTTACTTCCCTTTTGTATGTACACTAAAGCCGAAAAATTCAGGGGAGATCACTGCGTAAAGATGGTCAAAGACAGGCGCATCAATTTTCAAGCTAAGTAATTCCCGAATGGTCGAAGATTTCTAATATTGTTTTCTGGTATTTTCTGATCGAAAATAACTAAATACAAAGCGGACATTCAATCTCTGACACAGAAGTTTATGACAAACCTAACAACAAGTAGTTCTCAAAACAGCTTAAAACTAGCGATTTAAAAGAAAGAAATATTTTATTTTGTTACAAGTATCCAACAAATTACAACGCATTTAAAGTTAAAATAATAGCGTTGGCTTATAGAATTGTCAATAAATGCACAATCACAAATTACGCGGATGAATATGATTTTATCAATGAAAATACTATTTTTAGCCATGTAGATTACCGAATACTACACAAACCGAGTAGTGGAATATATAGATTCTACATGTCGGACTGTTTGGGCGAGAGGATTTTCGCTAAAATATTTACTTCAATTTTTTTTTTTAACAACAGGTTTACAAGACAAAATACCTCGAAATTAATAAGGATTACAAACCCGAAATGCAATGGAAGTTCTAAATTTAGAATGACTTGATATTATTCAGACACACCGTGTATAACACTCTCCGTGGTACAGTGGTAACGCGCTCGCTTAGTGAGTGAGAGGTATCGAGTTCGAATCCCAGTCGAGGAAATTTTTTTTTTTGTTAAATTCTTTTTTTAATTGTTTTTGTTAAGGAAGTAGCCATGATTTACAAGGATAAAGTGTGGCTGTCGTAAAAAAAGTACATAAATGATTTTTTGATGCAACTCTAGTTATGCAGAATTCCGTATGTGCCTTACAAAATGAATTATAATACATAAAAATAAACTTATACAGGAAAATGCATACAGATATACAGTACAATTTAGATTGCAAAGATCAGAAAATACCAAAGAACTTGAAGCCCTTTGATTCTTTATAAATATACATGCTTATAGTAAGCTTCATGATTATTTACATCTGTGTTAAACAACAGTTAAAAGTCGTTACAAGCCCTAATTTAGAATAATATGGTTTTCTTCAGGCCGTTCACATATAAATTTAACCGTGGCTGAAGGGTTTTCGGGCTCGCTTAGGAAGCGAGAGGTCTGGAGTTCAAATCCCAGTAAAGGTAACTCATTTTTTTAAATTGTTAAAGTCAAATAAACATTGGATTGAATATCAGTGTTGCAATTAGTCTTATAGCCAATTTACTACAATTAAAACGCTGGAAAGCATTGGTGGCACTAAACATATAATCTCACAACCTGCACCTTTCTTACATTCTGAGACCCAAACAAATTCAGCGCCTTCTGTGCTTTGATTAGAGTTATGACTTAGTATAGATTTGCAAATTTTCAACTTGTTTATGCATACATGTAGCTCAAAAAGTATTTGACCTGTAGGCCTAAAAGTTTACAAGAAATGTTGGTCAGCATGTGTACTTATGCACCTTTGGGTTCGCTTGTGAATTAATTCAGTATTTGAAAAGTTCTTGCCCTTTTCTTAGTAAAAGATTTTTAGTTTTCAACTTGTGGCACATGTAGCCGAAACTATATTTGACCTGGAGTCATAAGATTGACAAAACAGAGGAGTGTGGGGGCACCTGTGTCATATGGACACATTTCTAGTTTTAAGATTAATAACCCTATTATGTCATTGTTATGTAAGCCATGCTAACATTTCTATATAACTTTGCATGGAAAACTAAGAACTAATATATGCAAGTTAACCAGTTTTACTTTGGTAGAGTATCTTATTTAAAAAAATATTTTTGTTTTTCTAGTCGATTTATAATTTTTTTTTCTTCAAAATATTAGTTTGAATGTTCAAAATAATACACAAAATAATTAAAGATAAAATGTTTTATGTAAGTGTCCCGTTATTATTGATGTTTTATGGAAACATTATGATTATTAGATGATAATTTTAACGTGATTCTTTTGTTTTAAGTCAAATTCGCAATAAAATTGTAATCTAAAGTAATTCAAATATGACCTTGATCTGTCAAGGTCAAATATTGAATTTAGCTTAGATTGTCATAACTTTGTTATTTATTTACGTATTTGATTAATGCTTGAACAAAAAAACCCTTATGACACAACCACAAGTTAAATTATTCTGATATGACCTTGTCTTTAAATTGACCTTGACCATCAAGGTCAAATTATTGAAATTTTCTTAAATTGTCATAACTTTGTTGTTTATTTACGAATTTGATTTACACTTGATCAGAAGGACACATATAACATGTTGGATTCTTCAAATATGACATTGATCTTTCTATTGTCTTTGACCAATTGAAATTGGCTTTGAATTGTCATAACTTTGTCATTATTTACACACTTTTTTATTTATACTTGGATAAAATAACATACATGACACAACCGACATGTTGAATTATTATTCTATCACCTTGACCTAAATTGACCTTTTGCGTTATAGATTTGGCTGGATGGTCAAAAGAACACTTATGACAAAATAATTCTTATAAATAATTGGCCTTTGGATGACCTTGACCGTCAAGATCAAATATGAAATTTGAAATATAATTTGTTCAAGACCGTTATGTTTTGTAGAAGTATTCTTTACTGCAATATTCGTTCTTCAACGTGCTTGACATTAGAAGTAAGAAAAAGTCGAGCGTGGTCCCCGCCTAACGGTGGCTCTCGTTATATTTACTACACTACAATGAAAACTTCTGTGTGAGACAAAAGTTTTTATACCATTCACGCACTCAAATATTGTAGTCTTGTTGGCTATTCAGTATCAAATAATCGAAGGAAACAGAAAACGTCACGGTATTTTAAAACCGTTATTACCATAAATGGCCTAGCTGTGATAAACATGTAGGCATAAGTCTATAGTTAATAAAGATAAAAGAGAAAAGATAATCAGAAAAGTAGTTAACAAATATTGAATTTTAGATAAAACACCAGTCAAACTTTCAAATTTACACAATCAACACGCCGAAAACCTGTGGTCTTAATAATGCAATTTTGTTCATTTGAACTATCTAAGTTTTTAGACTGCGCATTTTCACGAAACCAGTTTATTTCGCATTTTATGATGAGGAAAATGGCAGCAAAAATGCAAATTTGGTGAAAAATGTGTCAAGAAAAACCCACAACACAATTATATCATACCGTGGTATTTTCTAAGGGAAACAAATCCTACAGACATGCTCAATTGCGCGAGTTAATGCATTACAAGTGCGCTCATTTTCTGAAAATGAAACTAGGAATGTCCCAATTATCCAAAATTAGAAATATAATTTATGCATATCTTTAATATTGAAAATGTATTTAAGACCATCGAATATACGTTATTCGCAGGATTCAATAAATAATGTATTTGACAAAAGGTGTAATCATAGTTACAAACCAATTGGTGAAACTTTGGATGCAATATGTGAGGGAAGGTAGGTGTTATACTTCTGTGATTACATTATGCGCCATCTTTAACGCAATTTATTATTCTACCTAGGATCTTCTTCATGCACATGTGCCTGTTTTCGTCTTAAAAGCTAGAAAGTTGTGATAAACTTCGAATCTTACAATTTTATTCAATCATTGTATTCACACAATAAAATTGGTATTATTTTAAAGCAGCACACCTCCAGATTCATGTTAAATTTCATGAAAATTTTGATAATGTATTTGACAGTAAAATATTGTGAGGTGAACAAATAAAGTTATTTACATATTGCAATTGGCACTTACAATCCATGCAAATTACAGAAAAAAAGAGGTCAAAATGTGCAAAAAAGCCCTTACTGCGTTAGTAACGCAGTAGAAATATGGTGATAAAATACTGCAATCGCAAATAACATGTAAACTTTAACATTGATCTTGATTTTTTTAAACCTTTCTTGAAATATTAGTACATTTTTCTCAATTTTCATTTTCTTGAAATATTTTGGCTCATCTGGAGGCGTGAAGCTAAAGTAAAAAAATAAATAAATGAATAATAATAATAAATAAAAATGAAAATAATAGTAATTAACAGAAATCATATAAATTTCATAAATCCATCTTGTGCTTAAAAACGTGACTTCAACATTTTTGGCAGCGTTTGTTTTACTTTCCAATAGCATTGAATAGATAATTCTTCATTTGTCCAGAAAAGTCGGATAGGTTGGCCGACCGCAGAGATATGACCAAAATTACATTCGTCTATAATTATCCCCCACCGATGGAATCGTGTTGGCAGTGTCCGTCCTTCCGATAACGTTTCCGCGCTAGTTCTCTGCAACTACTGGCGGGAATTCAACGAATCTTTATGGGAACCTTCAATACTAAGATGAGATGCGCATATCGTCACCTTGTCCTGGTCTGACCCTTCAAGACAGAGTTATGCCCTAGATTAATTATGCAGTATGCATGTAGAGCAATAATCGTTTCCGTGCTATTTCTCTGCAACTACTGGCTGGAATTCAACAAAACTTACGAGAACTATCAATACCAAGAGGAGATGCGCATACCATCACCCTGTTCTGGTCAGATCCTTTAAGACAGAGTTATGATCCTTGATTAGTTTCATGTATGCAGTATGCATATAAAGCAATAATATTTTCCGCGCTATTTCTCTGCAACTCCTGGCTCGAAATCAATGAAACTTTATGGGAATCTTCAATACCAAGAGGAGATGAGCATATCATTGCCTTGATCCGGTCAGACCCTTCATGACAGAGTTATGGCCCTTGATAAGTTTCATGTATGCAGTATGCAGTATGCATATAGAGCAATAATCATTTTCTCGCTATTTTTCTGCAAGTACTGGCTGGAATTCAATGAAACTTTATTGAAATAATCAATTCCAAGGAGAGATGAGTATATCATTGCCTTGTTCCGGTCAGACCCATCAAGACAGAGTTATGGCCCTTGTTAAGTTGTGCATTTTTGCTATTTCTTTACAACTGCTTGATTGATTTCAAGGCAACCATCAGTACGCCAAGGAAATTTGCATGCCATGATAAATTTGTAAATAAAGCCTTATATCTCCAGTTGTTGTGTTAGTAATAACCAGTACTCGGCGGGGGATATAAATTAAACGAATTTGCTCCTTTATTTTCTTCCCGAATGCCTAAAATAGTTTTTTTTTATACATATGATAGGTATATTTGCTGGGATTGACAAATATACAATTTAATTGTATTTAAGACGTTTGGAGCTCCACACCAAAAGTGTCTGTGGTTATGTTCTATAGTTTAAAGTAGTTCAGAAACATTACGCTCTGACTTCATCTAAGATAACATAACATTTGATGTTTATAATATTCATGATATTGCAGTATTATCTAATCTGTGTACATGTTTAGAAAGACAGTTTACTTCTCCTAAAGAGCCATTTCAATGTTTGATAATGCATTTACTGATTGTTATATATTTAAGTTTATCACAACAATTCAGTAGCAAAACGATGAATTGGAGTGACAAGCCACTGACTTCAGTAGAATAAATTTCAATTTTATTGCTTAATGTCAATCGCACTTTTCAGGGAGCGGTGGCCCAGTGGTTAAGGTGTCTGCCTCTCAATCCAGGAATCATAGGTTCGAACCCTACTCGTCGTTATATGGCACTAGTACTGGTTGGTTCTAAGAAGCGGATATGAAAGTGATTAATATAATTTGCAAAACATGTTTCTCAATCGAGCTTAAACCAAACCACATTGCTTATCTTTTTTCATTGAATATTTTAGATGCTCTGTGAATGATATTCCTACTATTTCGGTGGTACTGTGTAATGGAAACTGGGTTACTGCTGACAATAGACGTCTTTGGGTCTTTAGACAACTGGAAAGACTGGGAAAATGTGACAAGGTGCTCGTGCAAAAGGGATATTATATCCCTGATTCGAAAATGACTTCAGAAAATGATGGTTTAACAGTGTGCGTCCGAGGATCTCCCGGGGGATATTGGCATCAAAAGTCAAATGCACCAAAGCGGCCAATCAACTCGCCTAAAAATTCAAATAATAGGGGCATATATGACTTCAATTCATCAAGCGCAGGTACGCAAAACGTTATTTCAAAAATACCTTCAAACACCGGACACGGAAGTCAAAATAGATCAACTTCCAGTATAAAGAAAGTTGTTTCTAACACAACATTAACACCTGGACACGGATATCAGATCAGACCAGCGTCTATTTCACGCAACAGTGAATACAGACAGCATCAAGAAGGGTTTGGCAATATTGAGAGTAACAGTGGTAGACAGTACAACAGACATAACGAGAGTCGTCATGCGTTATTATCAGACGAGCTTGTATATCGTGACTCATATGATAGTGAGAAACAAGATGACTGCTGCTGTATCATAATATAACATGATGTAGGTCGACTAGTTTTGCCATAAGTATTTCAAATAAAAAGTTAATCAATCAAACAAACATAAACAAAAAAGTAACGTAAATGTATTCAGTGAGCTGCAAAGGGAGCGTAGAACATTTAAAGAGTGAAAAATGATATTGTCATTGATTGTGTTGTAGAAATATTTATTCTCGATATATATATAGACATGTTATAATAAAGAGACATGTATCTCACACTTTATATATATTTCTTTCGTGATTTGTTCGCACATATGATCCTAATACAATCAACATATTATTGTTATTAAAGAGCTTCCCTGTGTTGGTTTTCCACATGATCGATATGATACTTGAAAGAAAACATGTTTTTTAACATGACTGCCGTAAAATATTCAGAGAGTTTACTTCCATCTGAATAAAGCATTTTAAGCATTTCTTCTTTCATACAAACAAATAAATAAAAGGAAAGTATCTACCACCTATGTTAACTATCTACCACCTATGTTAACTATCTACCACCTATGTTAACTATCTACCACCTATGTTAACTATCTACCACCTATGTTAACTATCTGCCACCTATGTTAACTATCTACCACCTATGTTAACTATCTACAACCTGTGTTAACTATCTACCACCTATGTTAACTATCTACCATCTATGTTAACTATCTACCACCTGTGTTAACTATCTACCACCTATGTTAACTATCTACCACATATGATAACTATCTACCATCTATGTTAACTATCTACCACCTATGTTAACTATCTACCACATATGTTAACTATCTACCACCTATGTTAACTATCTACCACATATGTTAACTATCTACCACCTATGTTAACTATCTACCACCTATGTTAACTATCTACCACCTATGTTAACTATCTACCACCTATGTTAACTATCTACCACCTATGTTAACTATCTACCACCTATGATAACTATCTACCACCTATGTTAACTATCTACCACATATGATAACTATCTACCACCTATGTTAACTATCTACCACCTATGTTAACTATCTACCACATATGTTAACTATCTACCACCTATGTTAACTATCTACCACCTATGTTAACTATCTACCACCTATGATAACTATCTACCACCTATGTTAACTATCTGCCACCTATGATAACTATCTACCACCTATGTTAACTATCTGCCACCTATGATAACTATCTACCACCTATGTTAACTATCTGCCACATATGTTAACTATCTACCACCTATGTTAACTATCTACCACCTATGTTAACTATCTACCACCTATGATAACTATCTACCACCTATGTTAACTATCTGCCACCTATGATAACTATCTACCACCTATGTTAACTATCTGCCACATATGTTAACTATCTACCACCTATGTTAACTATCTGCCACATATGTTAACTAACTACCACCTATGTTAACTATCTGCCACATATGATAACTATCTACCACCTATGTTAACTATCTGCCACCTGTGTTAACTATCTACCACCTGTGTTAACTATCTGCCACATATGTTAACTATCTACCACCTGTGTTAACTATCTACCACCTATGTTAACTATCTGCCACCTATGATAACTATCTACCACCTATGTTAACTATCTACCACCTATGATAACTATCTACCACCTATGTTAACTATCTGCCACATATGTTAACTATCCACCACCTGTGTTAACTATCTACCACCTATGTTAACTATCTATCACCTGTGTTAACTATCTGCCACCTATGTTAACTATCTGCCACATATGTTAACTATCTACCACCTGTGCTAACTATCTACCACCTATGATAACTATCTGCCACCTATGCTAACTATCTACCACCTGTGTTAACTATCTACCACCTATGTTAACTATCTATCACCTATGATAACCATCTACCACCTTGTTTTCCCTGATCTTATATTACCTTTCATAACATTCACTTACCTGAACTTACGTTTAGCTAACCTAAACATACTTTTCTAAACCTAAACTTGACTTACCTTACCAAATCTTAACTAACCAACAAATATTAACGATAATATCCAAAATATACCCCCCACCCCCTATATATTTATACTTTGCTGTGCCTTACCTAAACTTTACAATAACTTACCTTAAATAACTTAAACTCTCCTAATTAAAAGTTAACTTACCTTACTTTACCTAGCGCTTAACTTACGCTTACCCGCTCTTAATTTAATAATTATGATCTTATCTTACCTTTCCTATTAAACTAACATTATCTTTCCGCTTCTTATCTGATTACATTGACTTCACATACAAATTTTAACGTACTTACAAAAAAAACTGGATTGTTTGCTATGTTATAACGGTAGGAGGCAATAAAGGTAAAATAATCGTATATTTATAAATAGAATGAGGTTAGTGTGTTGTTCATTTTCTGTAAATGAAAATACATGTACATAAAATATCAAATGTTCAGAGCAGAAAAGACTATTAAAGTTTATAATGATTACAAAACATCTAGAATGAAAGAAATTAGTCAGGTTACTTTTTTGATAGCGAGTTAGGCATGTATTACAGGTGTCGAGGGCATTCATTTAAACAGATCACCAAAATGTGAAAGAGCCACTGTTTAGTAGGGGTGATTATACATGTAGGTGTACATTGTACCAAAATATAGAAAAATATTCATTATATTTGAAATGTAAGACTGAACAAAGTCACAATTCGTTCTAAAAAGTTGATTATTCCCCCCTTCCCCCTTGATATACCTACATTTATTTCTGAATCTGTACGCGAGTATTTCGCAGAACATGTGAATTTTATCATCACTGCAGCTGAGTTTGGTTGAGTGCCAATATGATAGTTATGTTGGCTTTATTCAATAAAATACATAATTTTATTTATCCACGACAAATAGTTACTTTTTAAAATACATGTACATTTATCCACATAGATATTGTCAGCCAATTAATTGGTTATAATTGTTGAAATACTCCTCTTAACAAGAAAAGCGTTTTGTCAATAAGTAATGATAAACAATGGTATTAAAGTAGGAACTTTTGTGGGTATTAATTTTTATTTTTGGTAAAATAACAGTGTTCATTCACATTTGAAGGTCAATTTAAGAGACACTATGACCCATAGATTGACACGTGTGTATTAAATCGTTATAATTCTTTGTTTTTTGTCATGTTTTAGAAATCGGATCAGTTTTCATGTTGCTTTGCCAACTTAAAAGGGATTGATTACTTTTGCGTTATCTTTTCAGACATATCTACATTATAATTTCTGTGTTTTTGTTACCGGCATTTGACATTTTGTATGGTATATATGACACTTTCTCTCCTAATAGTTGCCTTATCCTTACACTGTTTTAGTCTTACATAACATGGTGAGGCAAAGAGTAAGGCAACTGTTTTAAATCCCATCTTAGTTATTTTGCTACCGGCCGTCCCCTCCTCGGTTTTTATATCCCTTTCTTGTGTACAGTAACATGTTTTGTACAGTTATATGTTTTTACAGATACATGTTTTGTACAGTTACATCTTTTGTACGGATGCATGTTTTGCACAGTTACATGTTTTGCACAATTACATGTTTTGTACAGATACATGTTTTGCACAATTACATGTTTTCCACAGATACATGTTTTGTACAGTTACATATTTTGTACAGTTACATGTTTTTTACAGATACATGTTTTGTACAGATGCATGTTTTGCACAATTACATGTTTTGTACAGCTACATTTGTTGTACAGTTATATGTTCTGCACAGTAACATGTTTTGCACAATTACATGTTTTGTACAGATACATGTTTTGCACAATTACATGTTTTCCATAGATACATGTTTTGTACAGATACATTTTTGTACAGTTACATGTTTTGTACATATACATGTTTTGTACAGTTATATGTTTTGCACAGTTACATATTTTGTACAGTAACATGTTTTGTACAGTTATATGTTCTGTACAGTAACATGTTCTGTACAGTTAAATAATTCGCACAGTTACATGTTTGATAAAGATGCATGTTCTGTACAGTTACATGTTTTTAAAGATACATGTTTTGTACAGATACATGTTCTGTACAGTTTTATGTTTTGTACATATACATGTTTTGTACAGTTATATGTTTTTAAAGATACATGTTTTGTACAGATACATGTTCTGTACAGTTAGATGTTTTGTACAGTTACATGTTTTTAAAGATACATGTTTTTTATACAGATACATGTTCTGTACAGTTACATGTTTTGTACAGATACATTTTCTTTACAGATGCATGTTTTGTACAGTTACATGTTTTGTATAGTTACATGTTCTGTACAGTTATATGTTTTGTACAGTTATATGTTTTGTACAGATACATGTTTTGTACAGTTATATGTTTTGTACAGTTATATTTTTGTACAGTTATATCTTTTGTACAGTTACATGTTCTGTACAGTTATATGTTTTGCAAGTTACTTGTTTTATAAAGATACATGTTCTGTACAGTTACATGTTTTTAAAGATACATGTTTTGTACAGATACATGTTCTGTACAGTTACATGTTTTGTACAGATACATGTTTTGTACAGTTATATGTTTTTAATGATACATGTTTTGTTCAGATACATGTTCTGTACAGTTAGACGTTTTATACAGTTACATGTTTTAAAGATACATGTTTTGTACAGATACATGTTTTGTACAGTTACATGTTTTGTACAGATACATGTTTTGTACAGATGCATGTTTTGTACAGTTATATGTTTTGTATAGTTACATGTTATGTACAATGAAGATATTAAATTTGTATGTTTCTTGTTAATTAAAATAAAAACAAAGCAAATAATTGATAATTATTGTGTTTATTTATGAAAGATAATGATAATTTTAGTTCAAAAGTACTACTCTTTCGGTGTTAAAATTACATATTAACGCTACCAAAGTACTTTCAAAGGTACGATCTTGATAGAACCTATTTTTAAAAAGGTAAAAATTAACAATATTAACTTTGAAAGGTAAAATTGATAATATTACTTTTGAATGTAAAAACTTCATGCAAATAATTGTATAAATTTATAAGTCTAAAACTGATCACATAATCTATTTTAAAAATAAATAAATGAACTTGTTAAATATATAAAAAAAATAAACGATAAAAGTAAATATTATAGTGAAAATAGAGCAATAGAAACATTTAAAGTAAGAAGTAAACAACAACAACAACAACAGTAACAAAATAAACAACAACACCAATGTTATCAAAAAAAAAACAAAAAAGACAATCACTTCAACAATGAACAATGAAATGCTACATATTAATGCTACATACGTAACGATTTATGCATTGTTTTATATAAGTGTATTTATCACAAAATGGCACGATAATTATGTATCAAATAAATATATCAAAATAAAATGTATTTAAACGTTTCTTCATTTTAACGAACTGATTCACCTCGACTTAAAAATCAGCAAGTCGTTATATCTCAGCAAAGTCATTCTCCGTCTCCAATATCCATTTTTGACAAAGTTTTGTTTTCTTACAATCCTTAATTTTTATGAATTGGAAAATGACGAACATACCGGTCTATTAGAAGTTGACGACGAAAGAACGTATTACAAGATGATGATATACTGTATAGAGTGCTTATATTTTCCATTTTCGGAGTCGGCGGTACAACTCATCATCGCTGCTGTCCGAACTTGAACTTGAATCTTCCAGTTTCTTTATCCACCTTCCTCCAGGTGATCCACGAACTTCTATATCTCTACCTCTATTTTCCGTTGTCATCTTCGACGAAGGAATATCGTCCACCTCATCAACTGGAATCTTCCGGCATTGTCCGAGTTCTTCTAGTTTACGGAATACCCACAACCGCCTGTTGTCTGCTGTGTACCATCTCTTACCAACTTTAGCCACAGAAATTGTTGGAATGTCATATTTGTCTATTCTAAGACAAAAAGACAAATTATTATATATTTTCCGTGTTAGAATAAACATGCACGCAAGATTTTTTCAGTTTTATCAGTAAGGCGTAAACTATAACGGATGTTTGTTAACCTATTTCGACAATTTTTAACGCCCCTTCAACAAATGGTTTTCTCTCATTTGATATTGCATGACAAAGAACTAAGGAATAAGTTAAATGCTTAAACAATTTCTCTTGGTGCTTTGAAATATGGAAGAATGACACTGAAAAGATACCAATCAATAAAAATGATGTTATGCTTATAACCCAGAGAAACGAAAGGAAGGAACTAAGATACATACTTGCCTTTACAAAGGTCGTCTAGTGTTTTGCCTATTTTTATCCCCGAATGTTCACTTCGTATATCAAAAGTGTTACTGATTGAATCCTGAGAATACCTTATTTCTGATGGTAGCAACTTCATTTTTGTTTTAATTTCTAATGATAAAGTCACAACTGAAATATGATAATTTCCTCAGACTGGAAATACCCGTCATATAATTTTAAACAAGTACTTTCCCGTATGTCCAAATATAACTTTTAATGCGTTTTAATGACAATGAAAAGAGTCACGTTGTAAAAGAAACAATAAATGTCGTACAATATAAGTTTCAGTAGCTAAAGATGGTAAAAGACGGTTTACAACAAACAATAGGAGACTTAGGGTATTTCGTCTAGAATGGTTAGGTAACTGTCAATCAAACAGTTGATTGTTTTAGTCACAAGTAAAATATTGCTTATGTAACTTTTGCAACTGTAAAATAAATTAAGCCTAGAATTGATGCATTGTTCTTAGTGGCAGGAAGATTTGCTCGTTCATGAAAATCGCCGACCTTGCTCAAGATATATGCCAAAGGAATTTCTGAATACCTATCATTTTGAAAATATTCGATAATGCATTTACGTTTTCCGAAAACTACATTAATTATCACGTCTATAAATAAATACTTGCAACGGAAATACCTGCAACGTATTTTCGGAAAATAAACTAGTTTCATTTTCAAGTACTCTAAGTGAGATGTTGCGCATTACATTTTTTTTCATTAACTAACTAACAACCGATTCTGCAACTGTCGCAAATTGCTTATTTTTCTTTGCTCAAGCGCGCGGGGGGGGGGGTCATTTTTTCCACGATTTTTTTTATGTACATTTGTAATTAAACACCACGTAGGAAGTTTATTATGGTGTCATACTTCTGTAATATGAACCATGTCTTATTGTTATTTATAATTGACATAAGTTTGAAATAACAACCTATAATAAAAATTTTGAACGTTAAGCAAGTCATTTTCGTTATAACTATTAGGCTTCAGTGTGTGTTAGTTTTTACCATGATGTTGCAAAAATGCAAAAAAAAAAAATAATAAAAAAAGTAAAATAAAATAAAAATTAAAAATAAAGAAACTTGTTTGTATTGAATCTGATCTAAATAATGCAAGTCTTTAAATCCATCTCGTTGATTAAGAATATCTTTAAAAAATATGATTCCTTTTTCACAAAGACTAAAAAATATTGTTTATGAATTTATATATATCATTTATTCCTTACTGTCTATATAATTGTTCTCCAAGAATACCATATGTAAGTGTTTACAAAATCAATCCAGATTGTCGTTGATAGAACGAAATATTCTTTTTTTCAGTGTCTTTATATCTATATTTTACTTTCTAAAATATTTCATTTAAGTCACACGTTTTCTCTTAATCGACATATACAATAAATATTAAACGTAAAATAGTAAACGATACCTGGCCACCAACTCAACAAATATAGCCATATGAGTCAACATCATATTGTCTGCGAAAAAAATATATAGAATGGAGTCAAGACCCCTTTGACTGAAGCTACCCCCAATAAAGAGGCAAAAAAGTATAAAAATGATCTGTTCTATATCATTTGCTGAATCTTACTATGTGTTTTTAAACATTTGATATTTCAACAGTTTCAACAACTCGTGCATGTCGTGCATGTCGGTCGTGCATACGGAAAATATGTTTCAGTTGCATAATCTTATCGTTCAGTCAAGCTCATCATTTATTTTTTTCCGTGATGCATATAATGGTCTCATTTGCCTCCCGTGCATCAAAATTGTATCGTCACAAAAATTGACTTGCAAACATATTTAGTATCATTCAGTGAATTACTGAATTCAAAATTTATAGGTCACCTTTTGGTTGATAGTAACATTTAAGAACATGAATGGTGACATGTTCGGGGTCCGTACTCTCAGTGCCTGAAATGGCGGATGGACCCTCATTAAGCCTAATACATACGTACGTACGTACATACATACAGGGGTTTGTCAGTCTTTGCCGAAGTGTCAACATCACAGAAATAATTAATTAATATTTTAGATTAATTACTTGGAATCTTGCACCATTTACGATATAGTATATCAATTGCACCAGTGAGGTGTAATTGTTAATACTAAAGTATTGAAAATTCGATATCCGGGTGGTTAATATATGTACTTATAGCCTAAATAGTGACACCTAAGTTTTATATAAAGTTCAAGTAAAGCACATTATCTTTAAAGTAAAGGCACGTTACTTTTATAAACAATATTTAATTAAACTTGATTCCAAAGTTGAACAAATCATTTAATAATCATTTGTAACCAATCAACTGGCAAAGTAGCCATGGGTAAAAAATTATATATATATATATATAGCTAGCCCGTGCACGTTACAATTATATAACACCTTTTATGTTTATTATTATAATATACGAATAATACTCGTATGATGTGCAAAACATGTAAAGTAGCAAAATCGGACTCGTTCTTTTTTCAATCACGCCATACACGATGGAAGAGATTCTCTGGTTTCTAGTCAAAGTTTCAATATGAGTGCCAAAAAAAAAGGTTCAACTATTGATCCACAAATATCATCAATCTCGCTAAAGAGTGCCACCACCATCTCACTCATTTCAAACATTCTAAAGGTCAGACAGCTAAAATTGTCAAATCCCCTCATCTAACGGTTCTCTATTCCAAGGTCCCATTTTATCATGCTTTTCATATCGATTTCTTAGCATCTTCCCCTGTGTACCTAGGCGGCATGCCAGTCCGACAATGTGTTCCCCGTTCTTCTGTGGCGGTATTTTTCACCAAGATATGGAAAATATTGGATATGTTTATATTTGTTATGCTGTTTTTGGCAAAATAAACTTGCCCGTCTTCTATCAACCATGATTTTACTTATGAATTTTCCAATACACAATCCACAGGGTCATTGCTACACGATAAACAAATGCATATAAATGGCTCAAACGTTAAAATACGCGTGTGGTGAAAAGATACTTCATCTTCTACATCTTCTACTGGATGGTGACATTGGTTACTATAATAAATGTTAAATAGTTTAGTTTCAGAATGACAAAAATCAGGAAAAACCCTTGAAACAATGGTTTAAATTCTACCAATCATAATTTAATAATTGAGAATTAATATTTATTCTAACAAGTATTGCTCTGGCTTAACTTTCCGAATGTTGAATTGAAAGTGTGTTGATACAATTTAAACGACTGAAAAATAAAGTTAACAGAATAAAGAAAAAAGACTAAGTATATAAGATTAAATGAATACAGTTTATTTACTGTATTCGACCTGACATACTACTGCGGTATGGAATTTATGTATGTCAAAGTATCACAAATATGTCTCTTTTATAGTGATACTAGTCTTGAAGGACATGTTGTAAGTGGTAATACTGACTCATTTACATGTATCATGCAGTTTTAAGCATAGATAATTTGTAAATACACTCTTGTATTACTGAAATAAAATAAACAGTGTGTTGTCTTTGTCGTAGATAATCAATGTTCTTCTAAAACATCCTTATTGGGTAATGTCGAGAGCACAACAGTAGAATTTTACATTATTCAATGCAGAGTCATCTCCTTTGCCTTGTCGTTCTTCGATTTTCGTTCTCATTCCTAAATTGATATGTTGAAAAATACACATTATGTCCATATTATTGAAAAAATAATATATTCGGATACTATTTAATAACAGGATGATTGCCTTTTATTATTGCTGTTGTTCAGCCTTTCATCCAGAGAATTATCTAGTCACCAACTGAAAACGTTATTCATTGTATATCATCTGCTGAAGAAGACTACTGCTGTACAACTTTACTAAAATACATACAGTGAAACTCGATCATTAGAAACTCGTTCGGACTATGACATTTAGCTGGCTATATCCGAGTTTTTTATATAAACAATGTAAGGAAATAGTATCTTATAAACAACTGATATATAGCGAAGAGGTATATTCTTGGCACGTTTGAAAATTTATTGGGATCAGTTCTGTATAAAAGGGTATCAACACATACTTTTTACATATGTAGGCACTGTTGAGTTTACAAAATAGCACATGGGGGAGCCTAAAAGTAGTACCCGGCACGACTTAACTTACGGTCAAATTGTTAACAAGAACTATGCCATACCCCTCTCTTTTTTGTATAAAATCAAATATACGATACTAATATTCATTTATAAAATAATCACCTTAAGTCAGCCGTTTTACATGATGATATATTTGGTTAATATAAGTAACAATTAAAATACTTTGCAGAAAGTGGTGTGTACGTGTGTTTAGACTTGTTTAATATGTACAAACCACATATAGCTGATCCTGTCGGACAACTCTCACTCTCTTCCCAGTATATTCCCCAAGGCTCGCCCTTCCCAGGAAATATCTCCAGTGGTATCTCGTCAACAGTTTTCATTGTATCTTGACATTTAAAAGTGACAAATGAAGCAGCAATATGATTGTTGTCATGCTGTTGTGAAGACAAGAAACTTTGTCTAAAAATTTGACTTTTAAAACAATATGAAGCTGTTTTCAGAATTTAAAATGCTCCGAAATTCACAAATATTCCAAAAACGAAACACGAGAAGTGTATGCGTTGAAAAGTGTGCGGTAACAAAGTTCAAACTATTGAATATGCTAAAATATTGACCACATTGTCTGCAATAATAATTTACTAATTAAATAAATTACAATGCTTTTGTCAAACAAGTTTCATTAAATTAGATCTGCTTTGAAATTAACTGAATTCAAATATTTTGTAGTCACTGCTGTTAGAGCATACTCATATAGCAAGTAATAGTTCCCTATTTTCAACAAAAAGTGTAATATTACTCTTATACCATTTGTAGACGAAATCGAGTAAGGAAGGTATCAACTGATTTTGATTTTGGACATAGTTTGTCTGTTCTGTAGTATCCCCATGGACCCTCCCATGACGTTATTGTTCTTCCAGTGGTTTGGCCAAACCTATTAGCACATATTAATCTTATCGCATTTAGTGCAGTGTCATCAGCCTCGCCTTGATAAGGTTCGATCTGAAAAGAATAGCGTCTATAAACATAAAAAGTAGGTTTTTGGAAAGTATTAAAGTGGGCCAAGATTATTTGTGACAATTTCTATCCAAAAGAGTCACAAAATAAAAGTATTATTTGTTTATTGTAAAAAATATTAAATTTCGAAGTGTTTATTATAAGAGGCAGTTGTCAGTGAATTTTCAAAAGGTGTAAGACTTCGATGATAAACTGTGGTCCGACATCGAATTTACAAGCCAAGATGAGCATGACAGAATTAATGGTGTTCTTCATGATCAGATTCTTTGTCAACGGTGAAACAGGAAACTCATGATAACCTTAACCCGCTTAATACAAATGTATTGCTATGCAAAGAAGACCATTGCGCCCCAGTATATATCATTACTTAGGGGAATAATTGATTTATTACAAGCAAAATAGGTGGTTAAATAGAGTCCTTGTTTGATCCAAGACAATCAATACATGCTGAAAAACCATTGTTAAAAAAATCATAAAAACATGGGTTTGTCCTTTCTTCAGAGAAAAAAATGTATTAATTTATGTGGCTTATTGTAGCTTTTATAATAATAATTATTAAGATAACTTCTATATTTCATTTTTGATAAACAAGTAAAAATTATTAGTGAAGTCAATTTCAACTATCGAAAAATAAAACAAATAAAAAAAACAAAAATTAATGTGTTTCAATAAAAAAGTTGAAGCGACGGAGACCCACCATTTTAGAAATAAGTGATTACCAAGCTACCCCAGAAGATTGCTAGTGTAGCGCATGGTTACAGCAAAAGCTCTTTGCATACACGATTAAGAGCAAAGATTTATGGAACGTTGGCTTATCAGAAGTTGCCCTTCAACTGTTAGAAGTCTTTGTATCTAACGGGTTAAAAATCTTCTCACTGCAAGACCTTTAGTAAGAATGACATGTTCTAATTTATGTGAAAGCCTTAGTATTATATTTCCCTTTTATCTGGCCTGTCTGTCACAACAATACTTCGTACATGTTTGAATTTGCAACACTGTCAGGCTTTCTACGACGGGCGTCATCCTCAATGTTCTATCCTCATGTTTAAACTTTGCTTCCAATTTGTTAGTTAAAACATCTAAAATGCATGATTATCTAGTGTCATAATATATTAAAGGCTGTTGTTATTTTAACTAAAGTCCCTTGCCTTGTTTGCTACTTTTTCGACAACAACTGACCAAATGATTCCAGTCTTCTAATATAGAATACACCTTCTGAAATGATCAGATAACAATAAGGCTGACAAAAGACATCCCTGTTCCAAACTTGCAAAACATATCAATTAGTCCTCGTTAGATTATATCTCTAAATTTTATAACTTACTTTTAGATTATAACCAATGGCATATTGTCTGTCTGGGCAGAATTCGATATGTCCCCATTGACCTTGAGTTCCTCCTCTTACTGACAGTGTCTTTTTCACATTCCACATAACTATCAATAATATGAATAAGAACCTTAATGCGACAACAACTTGGTAGGTTATATAATAACTGGAAAAAAACAATGAATATGTCTGAACTACCGATATTTTGCATTATTTAGTAAGTGAAGATTTGTTTAGTTATATAGCTGATATACCAATTCTTCATTTAACAGAAAATAAATATGTTTCTAGTTAACAAGTTTATCAGATAAATATCTGTTATTCATCTTATAAATTTGAAAATTAATTAACTAGTTAGTAAGAAAATTAACATGATAAGAAAGAGCTTAACTGTTGGCAAAATTATGTCGCTATAAGATTTACCTGTCTTTTTATACGAATCAGCAAATGCAAGCTCCTTTTTGTTTTCTTCCCTATATCGTCTGTAATCCTCCTTATACTTCATTATGTTAAACCGAATAGTTTCATAATCAATTCCGAGGGTAGAAACATATTCGGGTACAAACAGGTCCTCCATATCCTTTAGGACAATTTTAGAAGGAACAGGATTGTCTTTTACCTCAGAAGCCCAAGTTAGTGCGTCTCCATTTGAAGGCGGGGCTGCTCCTACCGTTTTGGTATGTGTTTGTACTCTCTCCGAGAACTCTTGTGCCGCTTGCCGCTGGCTTATTTCTAAACTAAAGCCAGCACCAATGCTTATCTTTCCAATAAAAGATGCACGTGCACTAGCACTATATTGAGTCTCCTTTATAGAATGAAAGTTGCCCATAGACATTTCATATTCATTTGAAAATCTAGCACCAAATGTTGCCTCAGATAAAAAATGTGTACCGAACCTGTCCATAAACTCAATATATGTTGTATTAGAGTCAGATGCATCAAGTTTGCTCAGCCAAATTAGGAAATCATCGTCAAATGATGGTGGCATTTGTTTGCGAAGCTTAACAAAGTAATAGTCACAATTAGCAGAAGATATTATATAAACGGATTTCTTTCTTTCTAACGTCGAGGTCATTTTTCTAAAATCGAAATTTGAAGAAAACGCAAAAGTTTTATAGGCCACGTTGAAATCGGTCATTGTTGATAAAACATCTTTTAATTCATTTACAGTTTCTAGTACGGTCGAAGAAAACGAGGTAACGCATGATACACTAGCTACTGCTATATATCCGTTAGGCAGGGCAAATCTACAGTCTGCCGTTTGCTGCATTTTAGAAAAGTCAGCTTTGAAAATAGGAAAAGTAAATCCAGGGTCACGGGAATCTGCCAGCGGAAATCCCCGATAATTATCATAACCAAAAAAAGCATAATCAATGTTAGGGAACGACAATTTTGACTCTGGACCAGAACAATCTCTTATCTTATGATCAAGTACTATACCTGAAAAATAAAGTATAGTTTAAGTCGACAATAGGGTTTTGATAATATTTAGAAAATCTGTTATTGATATGTTAAAATGAAGAAATCTGAAGTAAGATTTTAAATTCGTTTATATATGAATAATTTCGGTTTTGTGAATCAGTTATTCATGTACTGAAGAGTTTAAAATTACTCCTGTCTTTGAAAATTTGTGTCAGTTGTGATCAATTCAGTACTCAAACATTTTCTCCGACATCAAATTTTCAAATTCTTTCTTGAATCAGAAATTACTAAGGGCTGATAAAAATGTCGTCCTATGTCCTTCATAAAAGACCAATCGCTTACTATATTCTTTGAACTTGCGAGTTATTTATGTTCACCGACATCAAAAGTACTAATGTGAGTGTTAAGTGATACAAATACCAGGTGCTGACATTAAAGAATACATTTTTTTAAATACATGTACTATGTACATTTAGGTCTATTCTTGAAATGGGACCTACCTTGATTGAAGAAATACTTTTGCATATCTGACATATTCCCTGTTTTATCTTCCCCTTCATCAATGTCTACTAGATGAGCAGCATATGCAGAATTAATTTGCGAATCAGGAGCTCTGTAAAATAAATAGATTTAGCATTGTTTTCGTACATGAACAATATTGTGAGTCATATAATCCAGACACTTCAGTGCGATTGTACAAAAATGAAAAATATGCAGAATGCATTTTATGTTAGGAACATGAGGGTATGGGCACAAAAGGCAAAGAAGTGACCAAGCACATGGAAGATTTATCACAATTAACATGGTATAGTTAACTTCACTGCTTATCCAAACTTCTCGCTTATATCTTGCTTTGCTGACATGTACTAGCCTGAAGTCATGCAAAATATGCTTAATCTTTAAAACACACTGGTGATGTAATAGCATGTGAATTTACATAAAATATATTTAGAATACTTTAAATGTATTTACCTTAATGTTTCCACCTTGTATGTAACATACCCAAGGAGACTGAGCTGAACTAACACAAGTAAGGCAAAAACAAATAAAACTAGTCTTCGTCGACGTCTTCCTACCCCAATCGTGAATAACGTTCTTTTAGGCCTTTTCGTCTGTAAAATAATAATTCTAGATATGGTCTTTAACCGGTAGTGCCAATAAAGATTAAAAAAATATTTTTTCATTTCTGAAATCATGTATTTGATTGTAACTGATAATTCAATGTTTTCTAACTTGGAAAAGCCATTCCATATCTCACGATACCTTAAACTATGGGCAATACGTAACAGCCATTCCGTTAGAATCACGTGAACATTTCAACGTGTCTAAGCCAGCAATAAGACAAAAATATAATAACATGCAAGATTGTAATATGAGGAACAAATAATAAATGGGCATTTTGCAACTTTGCACTGAATATGAAATATTTGTTAAGTACATTTATATGATCAGATAACGTGAAAAAAAACATCTGTTTTTAATTACACCGAGAATTGCAGCTGAAACACATGTATACCTTTTGATGGCAAATTTTGTCAAATTGAATATCAAACATTTAATTAACTATAATATAATATATCAGTATTTGCTTACGCCAATGTGATTGAAGTTTACTAATAACACTATTAAGTATAAGGATTAGTGGATTTTTTTATATCAGCCGTATTGGCTTAGTGGTTAAGGCGTCCGCCTCACGGAGAGCGTTAATTGAAGGATGAATGTTTCCGGTGGGACTCTTTACGAAATGGCCGCTTCGTGAGCTGCGAGGTAGTTAAAATGAATGGTTACCGATTTCTATCCGCCTGACGTCTGGCATAGTGGTACAAGTTTGGAGGTGCATGGTATGATAGCTTAAGGTGTCTAATAAGTCAGAAATGGCCGGCCCTTTCAAAGGGGTGACATGTGATAAACAAGACCTTTTTATATAGTAATTCTACAGTTTTTGCCAATCCAGTGCAGGCTATTCTAACCAGGTCGTAACACCTGTCAACACACGTATTAACGCTTGATTTTATTGGGTAGATTGCTGCACAAACTCGTTTCATACCTTTAAATCTTGACCTGTGAGACCTCTAAAATGATAATGTTCATCCTGAAATTATAAAATATATTCATAATTATAGTTATAGAAGTGTTCACGTGATCTCTCATGATCTAGATTTCTCAGGTGGATGGTAATTATGTAAGCTTCAGTATCCTCATATTCGCAATATATATAGAAATATGGTTATATGGATTTCTTCTAGATCCTACACAATTAATTAAATTCATAGCATAAAATGAAAAGAAAACATAACAAGAAAGTAAAATATTAATAAAAGTGCCTTGTTAGTGTTGCCTTACAATGCTTTGTTAACTTTCTACTCGGAAGGAGAATGTTATGAATCTAACATACATGTATTTTAAAAACCCAAGTTCTACTTTTTTAAACTGTTACTTGTATAATGATGTATGTATTATTTAAATTAAAAAGTGCACATTTTAAATCTTATATATGTAAAAAATAATTATTGTACTTCAACCTTTAAATAATATCTATGTGGTAATACATATTAAATCATTTATTTGCTAACTTTTAACATATTCGTCATATATTCACATTATCAAATGTTTCGATATAATCTAAACCGTCAAAAAACGTTCTTTTAGAATAAAAACATAATGATAAAACAAATTGTAATTACCGACTCTTCCAATTCCATCTTTGTTGTTTTCTTTTTCAACTGAAATCAAAATATTTGCAAGTCACTTAAATGATAATGGAGAGTCAAGAGTGGTTTACCTGAACAACTACATGATAAGTTATTAAAGGTAGTATACATAAGATTAGGGCACATCTTATGATATGTAACATACCGTACTACTTATATTTGAACTTGTGTTAAACACTTTGGCGTAGTTCCTTTATGAGGATAGATTAACTATCACCCGACACGTTTTATCAACAGTTTCAAGCATTTTTATGCAGACCCGACGGTGCTCCGTTAGGGCCATCGCGACACACACACACAACTCGAAACAACGAAAATTCGGAAGTGAAAAGTCGAAATAACGAAACCACGATAATGCGAAAACGAAGATACGATAATGAAAAGATGGTGAGAGGTCGAAATAACGAAACCATTTGATTATTTGACTTTTCACAATCGGCTTTTTATCATCGTGATTCCGACTTTCGACCGTAGTAGTACATGTATTTTCGAGTTTCACCGCCTTCCTGTTAAAATGATAATGACAATCTATAAAAATGTCACCGGTAGTCCGGAACATTTAACGTTTAAATAAAGCAAAATGTACAATGCACTTACTTTATGGTAACACCATGATCCAATGCCATTTACAATATTATATGTTTAAATAACTGTAATTTTGATCTCTGTGCGCATGAAAAATGAAAAGTCGAAAACACGACGATGAAAAGTCAAAGGTTTAATGGTGAAATGTCGAAATAACGAAACCGCGATGGTGAAAACTCGATATAATTTCGCGTTTTCGCCATTGTACTTTCGACTTTCGTCATAGCACATGTTTGGAGGAAAGCAACGTTATGCACAGGGTTTCTTTAGAAATGTTGTAGATTTGAATAAAAAGTACGTTTTAACTGGACTTTGCGGTGTCCAAAATTTGTCCTTGACCTCGATTACCTTAGCCATGTGTGTTACAAAGTACGGTTTCGCACATATATAGAAACTACGGAAGCCAAAATGTGTTAACTTTGCGATAACGTTTATTACGCTATGACCGTTGAAATACAATGTAGATGTAGTGATATGTAGTATTGTTTAATTTTATTAACCTGTCAATTGCATACTGATTATACGGTCAATATGCACACAATATATTAATCTTCGATAACTGTTCGGTAAATTTCGTGAGATGTACGCAAAAAGATGTGATTAAATTTCATTTGTTTATACAGTTATGGAGGCTATTCGTTGCCAAAAATCCAACCTTTGAAACTTGACAATGCATACTTCGGTTCTACTAAACATATTAGTTAAAATCTAATTGTCGATCCGAGAGTTACATACTGCACAGGTATTAAGCATTTTGCTTATCTCGATTTGATAAAATGGATGCTGTAAATATAAATTGCAAACTGTATTTAGAAATTTATAACTTCAAATTAGCGACACGTAGAAATGTAAACGATAGACCGTACATGCTGTGCATCATGACGTTGGGAATGTAACTGCATTAGTTGACACTCTCAGGTTGACAACACCAAAATGTCCTTTTACATCCTAAGGCGATTAACATTTGTATACGATTTTGCAACTTCCATATATGGAATTATCACGGAAATAGACGAACATTAATTAATTAATTTAAATTGGGTTGTAGAAATACCCAAATTTATTACCAAGTGTAATACCACGGGACTATTCAAAGTTTACTATCGATAATTCCGTTGTGAATTTGTCCCATTTTAATGTTGAAATAAATATTCAGTGTATTCTAGCATCTCTGTTTACCTCCATTGGGAGGTATTTTCAGTCATAGGATGTGATTTAGCCTTTTATTATTAAATATATGTAAGCTGACGTAGGTTAATGTCTTCTTTTATGCATTGTACTGAATCAATAACAGCTCTAAAAGCTGTGTATACATGCTGTCAATATAAGTTACCTAGACTTGCTGTCTATCTGATCAAAAGCAGAGAACTATTTTTATGTACATGAAATACTACAGAGAATATATGGCGTTTACGAAACAAACATATACCTTTGAAGTTTCGAAGGGAAATAAAGTCTAGTTAAGAATAGAGTTTACGAAACAGACATATACCTTTGAAGATTCGAAGGGAAATAAAGTCTAGTTAAGAATAGCGTTTACGAAACAAACATATACCTTTGAAGTTTCGAAGGGAAATAAAGTCTAGTTAAGAATAGCGTTTACGAAACAAACATATACCTTTGAAGATTCGAAGGGAAATAAAGTCTAGTTAAGAATAGCGTTTACGAAACAAACATATACCTTTGAAGTTTCGAAGGGAAATAAAGTCTAGTTAAGAATAGCGTTTACGAAACAAACATATACCTTTGAAGTTTCGAAGGGAAATAAAGTCTAGTTAAGAATAGCGTTTACGAAACAAACATATACCTTTGAAGTTTCGAAGGGAAATAAAGTCTAGTTAAGAATAGCGTTTACGAAAACAAACATATACCTTTGAAGATTCGAAGGGAAATAAAGTCTAGTTAAGAATAGCGTTTACGAAACAAACATATACCTTTGAAGATTCGAAGGGAAATAAAGTCTAGTTAAGAATAGCGTTTACGAAACAAACATATACCTTTGAAGTTTCGAAGGGAAATAAAGTCTAGTTAAGAATAGCGTTTACGAAACAAACATATACCTTTGAAGATTCGAAGGGAAATAAAGTCTAGTTAAGAATAGCGTTTACGAAACAAACATATACCTTTGAAGTTTCGAAGGGAAATAAAGTCTAGTTAAGAATGGCGTTTACGAAACAAACATATACCTTTGAAGATTCGAAGGGAAATAAAGTCTAGTTAAGAATAGCGTTTACGAAACAAACATATACCTTTAAAGATTCGAAGGGAAATAAAGTCTAGTTAAGAATAGCGTTTACGAAACAAACATATACCTTTGAAGTTTCGAAGGGAAATAAAGTCTAGTTAAGAATAGCGTTTACGAAACAAACATATACCTTTGAAGATTCGAAGGGAAATAAAGTCTAGTTAAGAATAGCGTTTACGAAACAAACATATACCTTTAAAGTTTCGAAGGAAAATAAAGTCTAGTTAAGAATAGCGTTTACGAAACAAACATATACCTTTGAAGTTTCGAAGGGAAATAAAGTCTAGTTAAGAATAGCGTTTACGAAACAAACATATACCTTTGAAGATTCGAAGGGAAATAAAGTCTAGTTAAGAATAGCGTTTACGAAACAAACATATACCTTTGAAGTTTCGAAGGGAAATAAAGTCTAGTTAAGAATAGCGTTTACGAAACAAACATATACCTTTGAAGATTCGAAGGGAAATAAAGTCTAGTTAAGAATAGCGTTTACGAAACAAACATATACCTTTGAAGATTCGAAGGGAAATAAAGTCTAGTTAAGAATAGCGTTTACGAAACAAACATATACCTTTGAAGATTCGAAGGGAAATAAAGTCTAGTTAAGAATAGCGTTTACGAAACAAACATATACCTTTGAAGTTTCGAAGGGAAATAAAGTCTAGTTAAGAATAGCGTTTACGAAACAAACATATACCTTTGAAGTTTTGAAGGGAAATAAAGTCTAGTTAAGAATAGCGTTTACGAAACAAACATATACCTTTGAAGTTTCGAAGGGAAATAAAGTCTAGTTAAGAATAGCGTTTACGAAACAAACATATACCTTTGAAGATTCGAAGGGAAATAAAGTCTAGTTAAGAATAGCGTTTACGAAACAAACATATACCTTTGAAGATTCGAAGGGAAATAAAGTCTAGTTAAGAATAGCGTTTACGAAACAAACATATACCTTTGAAGATTCGAAGGGAAATAAAGTCTAGTTAAGAATAGCGTTTACGAAACAAACATATACCTTTGAAGTTTCGAAGGGAAATAAAGTCTAGTTAAGAATAGCGTTTACGAAACAAACATATACCTTTGAAGATTCGAAGGGAAATAAAGTCTAGTTAAGAATAGCGTTTACGAAACAAACATATACCTTTGAAGATTCGAAGGGAAATAAAGTCTAGTTAAGAATAGCGTTAACAGCTGCCACTCATCAATCTGGTACATGGTGTTGCAGGCTCATGGTTGTGAGAAATAGATTTACGCAATAAAGGAAAAGATGATGTAAAAGTTGCAAGTTCTGCATGATTGCAGCTGTTAAAGACATGCTATCAAAATTGTAAAAAAAAAACTTTGCAGAGCCCACATACATAAAGCTAGTATATTACATATAACAGTCTGTCAATGATCATACTTATAAACACATTTTGTGTAACTATGTTGACCATAGACAGGTCATATTTTTCCCCGATGTTTGTCTTTTGGTGAATTCTGGCCGGGTTTACACTTAAACTGCAAGGGTCATTAATATGACGATATTATTTTCTTGGTGTGCGAAGAAAAACCTAAGGGGCATTTGTTTCGGATTCATTTATAGCAAAACCTAAGGGGCATTTATTTCAGGTTCATTTACAGCAACTTCGACTTTTTGTAATCAAGTTGGAAATTCTTTTTGCGTAGGAAATCTGAAGATGAGTACTGAGGCGATTTCAGCCGCTCGTTACGGACCGAGTTTTGCAAGGTCGATGTTTAATGCACATTCGGGTTATTTTCTATCTAACACAAAATTAAAAACACGCCAACATTTCACTTTTACAATTACTTTAAAGGGCTATTTGTACTAAAAAACAGTTTTTTCCTAATATTCATCATTCTAAAATTAGATAATACAGTATATTCAAGTCTAAAACAATTAAATACGTCTTGTAAGAAAGAAATCACCATTTTTATAAAAAGAACGTGGAACCCCTTTTAAATAAAGAGCAAACGATAACACGTAAGTAAAATAAAAATAGTAATAAAAAATAAATGAATAAATAAACATAAATAAATAAAAGTCTGATGATGGTAGTCAATGTCAATGTCTAATTTCTTCGTTCGTTCTGCGTTTTTTTTTTTTTTTTTTTTTTTTTTTTCATAGATATGTGTGAAGTTGGCGGCCTAGCGGCCTGGCGGCGTGAAGATGGCATATCTAGATAAATATGTTTATTTTGTGTTTTTCAATGATTTAAATTAGTTATGATGATGATGTACTGATGATGA